AGTGTGTGTGTGTGTCTGTGTGTGTGTGTGTGTGTGCGCGTGCGAGCGCTGCCTCAGCCCGGTGCCCTTCCCCCTTCTGCTTCGAGCCCCGCCGTGCCTCCGCCGCGGCGCGCTCCGCCCTGCCTCTCCGCTGCCCTGCGGGCGCCCCCCTCCTGCGGCCACGGCGCACCGCCGCTCCTCCTCCTCCTCCTCCTCCTCCTCCTCCTCCTCCTCCTCCTCCTCCTCTCCTCCTCCTCCTCCTCCTCCTCCTCCTCCTCCTCTCCTCCTCCCTCCTCCTCCTCCTCCTTCTCCTCCTCCTCCTCCTCCTCCTCCCCCTCCTCCTCCTCCTCCTCCTCCTCCTCCCCGGCCGTTGTTGCTCTCCTCGCCCGCCCAGCTTTGGCGGGGCGTCCGGCCTGTCTCGACGCGCGCCGCTTACCCCTCTCCACCCGGAGGGCCCGGGCCCCGCCCCGCTGCTGCCCGCTGCTGCCCCGCCGCCGCTCGCCGCTCGAGCAGCGGGTATCGACTACAGCAGTGACTTACCCCAAATTTGACTTTTCTGCCGACTCCATGGAATATGCACAGGATGCTCGATCGATCTACGGAGCATTCGACACATCTTCCGTAGATTCGACGGCACGGCCAAATTTTGGGGCAAATCCATTCTGTAGTCGATCCCCTACTCGAGCCGCGGCGCCCGTTTCCCCCCCCCCCCCCCCAATGCTCCCCGGCGGCCCACGCCGCCCCCTTGCCCGCCGCCCCCTTGCCCGCCACTGCGCGCGGCCGCGGACCTCTGGACGGGCTGGCGTCGCGCCGCCCCGCCGACGCGCAAGACATGTGTGCGTGCGTGTCTGTGTCCCGATGGTGTCTCGTCTACCGCCCAAGCACTCGCTCGAGATCTTCTCGCGCATTCTCGTCGTCGCCGTTATCGCCGCCGCCGCCGTCCGCCTCCGCAGTCCTTCGGGTGATCCCGTGCAGAGCCCACGCGAGGTCGTACCCAACCCAGAGTGGACGCCCCTGCGAGCGCGCTGTGCGTCGCTTGGCCGTGGACGACGCTGCGCTCACTTCTGCTCGGCGTTGCCTGGCGCCGCTTGGCGTGGCGAGCCGATCTTGGCGTCGACACGGCCTCCTGATCAGCTGGGCGCCGCCCCCCCTGGCTCCCGCCTTCCTCCCTCGTCATCTGATCGTAGGAGGACATGAAAAGATCAAGAGGTCATTATCATGATACGTTCCAAGACTTCCCAGAATTGTAGGGTTTTCTCATGCTCCACGCGGGCTGCAGAAACCAGGGCCGCTAGATGCCCCAGAAATCCTTGAACGTATCCTGAGCCAATCCTACCACGACACCATTCTCGTCCTCGGGAAAAGGACATGAACATAGCCTTTCGGAGGTCCGCGCTGATTTCTTGGATCGGCGCTTTGCATGTTTTATCGCACCAGTGAAAAACCCACATTGGATGGTTTGTACATTAGTGATACGGATATTTAGATATATTGTGAGACCGATCGTGAGATTGATAGTGGGATCGATCGTGAGGACGATAGTAAGGTCGATCGTGAGACCGATCGTGAAGTCGATGCAGTGAGATCGATAGTGATATAGATCGTGAGATCGATAGTGAGATCGACAGTGAGATCGCTCGTGAGATCGATAGTTACATCGGTTGTGAGGTCGATCGTGAGATCGATTGTGATATCGATCGTGAGATCGATAGAGAGGCGGGTAATGAGATCGGTGGTGAGACCGATCGATGCGGAGATCGACCAGGAACCCGGGATCCGGGAACCCCGCCGCCCACTGAGCCGGGGAGCCCAGAACCAGGAACCCGGGAACCTGGCCGCCTACCGAAATCGGCCAGGCACTTTCGCCAGCTCCTTCGCCATCCGCTAGTGCGGGACGGGAAAATGACCACAGCCACTGCTTCTTGTTTGCGCCGCCTTCCAGCCGGCTGGAAAAGAAGCAGCGGCTGTGGTCATTCCCCTGGTGCCAAGCTCAACGAAAACGACCACAACCGCTGCTTTGTTGCTGCGGGCTGGAAGGCGGCAGCAAAAGAACAGCTGTGGCTGTGGTCGCTTCCACGCCCCGCAGCCAGGGCCCCACTCCGTCAGAGGCCAGCAACATGTGTACACGCACGCGGTCAGTCTCCCCTGGAGTGCGTGTCAACGCGGACGTTCGTGCAGGCAAGACCGTGGAGGGTCGAGTGGCCGAGCTGCTCTACATACATGTCCTGCTGTCATCTCGTACATGTACATATGTCGAGTGACCGTCACGCCTGTCATCTCGTCATACCCGTGGTCGAGTGACCGTCACGCCTGTCATCTCGTACATGTACATATGTCGTTGCCTGCCCACTCAGTGCGACGAGCACTGCTTGGGGACCACCTGCGCTGCCGCGGGGCGCGCGGGTGCGCTCGAGGAGCCGGTCGGCCGCCCGCCTCCGCTCGGCGGCTCGGCCTACTGGGGCTAGGCGAGAGAGGGCAGGCCCTCTCGGAGGGCGGCGGGGCCTCTCGTGCGTGTCATGCG